ACAGTAGCAACATGACAGTGATGAAGTAGCCACGAAAATAATTTGATGGTTGGGTCACAACATGAGGAACTGTATTTAAAGGGCCAGAAGGTTGAGAACCACTGCCTTAGGGGAACCGCAGGAGCGCGCGGGGCCGGAACGGTGAAATGATGACTCTTTCACCTGTCAGCGGCGGCTGGAAATTCCCACACATGCGGGCCTTGTCCGTTTCATCCTTTGAGTCCCCGCGTCTGCATGCCGCCCGCGCCGGCGCCGCCTTTGTGTCCGCAGCTCTCACGCCGGGCGCCCCTGCTTCATGGAGGCTCTCTTGTCACGGTGACATTTCAACATAAACAGTCAATATTCCTTCCCTCCGAGGAGACTTCCCTCCTATTGCCGACCAATTAAATCCCAGCTGAGCCCGGCAGACAAAGGTAGCGCAAGACAGGCTGCTCGCACGCGCGCGCCGCACTTGGCTGCTCCCTTCCTTCCGAGGAAGAAAAACTGTCATCACAACAAAGGAATCTGGGGACCTGGGGACACTCTCATCCGAGAGAGCCAGTTCCATGGGATCTGATGGCTCCTTCCCTTTTCATCCGGCACACCGCTGGGAGGGGGAGAGGAGATTTTTTCTTTCTTTTTTTTGGTATTTGGTGTGTGTGTGTTGTTTTTAATAATTCAGCACCGTGCATGTTTGAGGTTTCGCCGAGAAGGGCAACCAGCCCTTAATTAGTTCCTGTCTGTCAGTGGCCACACGGGCAGGGCTGTGGATCCAGATGCCGGCACCCCTGACCTGTATCTTTGGACTCCGCGGCCTACGTTGATGGAGCCGGGTTTCTGGGTCTCTCCACGCCACCAGAGCGACTCGGGGTCTCTTAGGACATCTGTTGAGACTGAGCGCTTTGGGGTGAACTCTGCCCTCGATTGGGGATCCCTCTGGGCGTGTGTCCACTTCCCTGGGGGAAAATGTCCTCAGATTGTTTGTCTTGACTCGTTAAACAGCCCAACCCCCTCGCAGGCCCAGGCTCTCCACCGCACACTGAACAACCCTTGAAAACCATTTTCTTTGGAAGCCTGGAGAGATTTTTCAGAAAACACTAGTAATTCTGCAAACTTCAAACAATTTCTCTCTTGCCTTTTCGCGATTCTGGCGGCCTGCATGGCCCAGGCTGCAAGACTTTTCCTCCCCGGAAGTGAAATGTGCAATAAATTGGGCATCGGGGACTCTCCTGTGCGGGCTCATCAGTAAGCCATTGATTCCCCCCGCAGAGTGCTGATTTCTAGATTTGGGGGAAAAAAATCTGGGCTACAGCCTAGATCAGTGATGGCAAACCCATGACACGCGTGTCAGAGGTGACACTCGAACTCATTTTTTTGGTTGATTTTTCTTTGTTAAATGGCATTTAAATATATAAAATAAAAATCAAAAATAGAAGTCTTTGTTTTACTATGGTTGCAAAGATCAAAACATTTCTATATGTGACACGGCACCAGAGTTAAGTTAGGGTTTTTCAAAATGCCGACACGCCGAGCTCAAAAGGTTCGCCATCACTGGCCTAGATTTAAAGGGTGGTAACCCAGGCTGCTATCAGGATTGGTACCCCCACAGTCAACATTTTCTGACGGACTGATTTTGATGACATTGTCAGGCCAAGAACGACAGAGGGTTACCTAGAAATGAAATATACACCCCACTTTTATTTTCATAAACATCCGTGTGCATAGGAGCCCTGTCATCACTTCTAGAAGCCGCCCCGGTGTTCCTAAAACCAGCAATCTAATCTCCTCAACTTCCTTGAGGAATCGATTAACATGTAGTCCAACAATGAGTGTGTCACGCTGCGTGAGAGAAGTTACGTTCCAGCCTAGTTATGACTGGATTCTTACTCTGCCTTGTCTTGTGAACATGGAAATCCAATTGATTCAAGGAGGTAAACTTTTATTTATTGAGGTATCTCTTTTATAAAGAAAAAAGAACTTCAGCAACCTCCCCCCCACCCCAGCCCCAAGTCAGATTCGGTGAATTTAATCATCAGAGACTTTGATTTTCCATGTGTGCTTCTAGCAGCTAGAGGGCACAAAAGAATGCTTTTACCTGGCTTGTCTTTCTTTCTTTTCTTTTCTTCTTCTTTTTTTTATCGGTGAATTTAATCATCAGAGACTTTGATTTTCCATGTGAGCTTCTAGCAGCTAGAGAGCACAAAAGAATGCTTTTACCTGGCTTGTCTTTCTTTTCTTTTCTTCTTCTTTTTTTTAATCACTGAGTGAAACTCTCTAGGCTCAGAAATAAGCAAAAATACAAGGATGTCCATTTTCCCCCCAGATGTCAAATGTGTCATATCTCCTTTCCGACAGAAATCCAAATTCCAGATGATGGTAACACGTGAAAGTGAACTTGATCTTCCCAGTAAACCCCAAAGAATGAGAGGCCGGGCTTCGGGCCCCATTCTCCCAAGTTGGGCCCATCTTTCCGTCTTTGAACTGTTTTGTCAAGTTCAAAGCCATAAGAGACACATTTAACCATCATCACTCTTAACATCTTAAAGATTAATGTTGGTTGTGATTCTGCATGAACAACATCTATTATTGTTCACTAATAAGAGGCTTACAAGAATAAACGTGAAAGGCTTGGGAAAAAACCTCCTGTCAATTTAAGAAACAGTCAGTTATGCTGAAACCGGTTTGGCTCAGTGTATAGAGCGTCGGCCTGCAGACTGAAAGGTCCCGGGTTCGATTCCGGTCAAGGGCATGTACCTGGGTTGTGGGCACATCCCCAGTGGGAGATGTGCAGGAGGCAGCTGATAGATGTTTCTCTCTCATCGATGTTTCTAACTCTCTATCCCTCTCCCTTCCTCTCTGTAAAAAATCAATAAAATATATTTTGAAAAAAAGAAAAAGAAACAGTCAGTTGGCCCTAGCCGGTTTGGCTCAGTGGATAGAGCATCGGCCTGCAGACTAAAGGGTCCTGGGTTTGATTCCAATCAAGTGTACATGCCCGGGTTGCAGGCTCAATCCCCAGTAGGGGGCGTGCAGGAGGCACCCGATCATTGACTCTCTCTCATCATTGATGTTTCTATCTCTCTCTCTCCCTCTCCCTTCCTCTCTGAAATCAATACAAATATATAAAAAAATAAAAAGAAAGAGTCGGTTGTACTTCAAATGAACAGTTCCAAGGGATCTCAGAGTAGAGATGCATGCTTTATTTTTATTAATTGATTTGAGAGAGAGGGGAGACATCAACGTGTTGTTCCACTTAGTTACACGTTCATTGGTTGTTTCTTGTATGTGCCCTGACTGGGGATTGAACCCACAACCTTGGCATATCGGGACGACGCTCTAACCAACTGAGCTACCCGGCCAGGGTGTGAGATCCATGCTTTAAGAGCCGCAAATGAGCCACAAACCATGCCTCCAGGTCTGCAGGCCATCCTCTACACACACGTC